GAAAGAGATAGAGATACTTCCCTCTAAAAAAGCTAATTATAATATACTATTAGTTACTAGTATAATATTATTAATAGGCTAGTTATATAATATATTAAAAATAAAGTTAATAATTTTAAGAAAATATATTAATTAAATATTAAAAAAAGGATAGATCTAGCCCTTAATAAATATAGTAAGTATACTAGTATTTTTTATATAAAAAGCTAATAAATTATTATAACTTTATATAGATTATAAAGGCTTAAATATAATTATTATTAAGAATTAATATTCCCTTCTATAAATTAATAAACTAATAAACTAACTAGTTAGAACTAAATAATTTATTAAACTAGATTTATAAAATATTTATTACTAGATTTATATTTATTAAAGTAATAAGTAGAAAATAATATTTTATATAAAATATAGATATTATAAATATCTAATTATATTTTTTAAATTATATAATACTCTAGTTATCTTTTAAGTATATATTAATAAAATAATAAAAAGAATTCTAGATAAATTTTATATAATATATTTAAATAATATCCTAATTTATTTATAAATAAAGGAAGAATATAAGTACTATATTAATAAAGTATTATTATATCTCTAGAAATATAACCTCTATATAAAACTTTTAAAATATAGCTTTTACTAGAAAAAAGTATATTTTTTTAGCTTTATTATAAGAATTAAAAGAATCTAAATAGATCTTAAGTAAGTATATACTATAAATAACTAGCTAGAACTATACTTATTCTATAATATTTAAGTATTCCTAGAATTTATAAGATATTTCTAAAAATTTATTTACTAGTATTCTAAGATTATTACCTTACTAAATAATATATTAAAGAAAATAATAAAGGGAAGAAAAAGTAGTTCTTTTAAGATAATAAAGAATAATTAAAGTATCTTTAAAATATTAAAGTAGGTATTCTTTAGATTCCTAGTACTATAATATTTTAACCTAGAATAAGAGATATTTTTAATAACTAATATATTAGATTTTATAATTATAGGAATTTTAATATAATATAATAATATTTAGTTTATAAAGATATAATATACTACTTAGTAATTTATAATCTTTTATTTAAGAAAATTAATTAAAATAGAAAAAAAATATAAAATCTATAATTAAGAATTACTAATTATAGTAAAATACTTTAAAATATAATATTATTATTTTAAAAATAATCTATATATAATATATATATAAATAAATTATATAAATCTAAAATATTTCTATACTATTAAGATTTTAAATTAATATTAAATTAGATAGGTTAAGCTTCTAGTAATATATAATTTCTAGATTAAATATTAGCCTAGTAATCTTAATCTAGTTAATATATTTTTAAAGTAAAAAGATTATAAACTTACTTAATAAAATATAGTTAAGAAACTCTTATCTATACTTTAAATAAAGTTAGAAGATTTATAAAATAATTAAAGTAAGAATAAAATAATAGTTTCTTAAAAAATTTTAATTATATAATTAAAAAGTCTAAAACTTTTAATTTAAAGAATATTAGTATAAAAGATAGCTAGTAATAAGTAAGCCTATAGAATATTATTAATTACTTTAAGAAACTTATTTTAGAAAATATAATATAAGAATATCTATATAAGTTATATTTAGAGTAATATTAGTAAGGAATATCTAGTATATTAGAAATATACTTAAATAATAGAGAAATTACTTAAATAAAAAATAATAAAATAGCTTAAAAATAATATTAAATAAAGATAAATTTATAAGAATAAATAATATATTAATAGTAATAAGCTAGTATAATATAATAAGATTATTTATATTTCTTTTAATTAAATAATATACTAAGAATTATTAAGAATATATTATAATAATTTATATATAGGCTACTTTAATTAAAAGAAAATATTAGATTTTATTAAATAAAAATTTTATTAAAATATCTTATAATATAATATTAAGAAGTATATAAAGAGTTATTTAATTTACTAAAAAATAAAGATATTTAAATAATTTTTATTAGACTAGCTTATAAAGCTCCTAATACTAGAATACCCTTAATAAAATCTAATTCTAGACTTTATTATAGGCTTACTACTATTAATATAAAAGAGATATATATATAATATTATCTTAATAATTATAGACTAATATATTAAGAAAGTTAAATATCTTTTAATAATAAGAAATATTAATATTAAGAAGCTAGTTAATATATTTATAAAAGAGATTATACTTAAAATAAGAGTATTAAAAAGTCTAGTAAATAACTATAGCTTATTCTTTACTAGTAAATATTAAACCTAGCTATACTAAGAGCTATAAGTTAAAGAATAATTAAGTATTATATTTTATCTATAAATAGATAGTTAAATAGAATATTAGAACTAGATATTAGAGACTTATTTAAAAATCTATATTAATTATTAATAAATTAACTAGATAAACTAACTAGATATAATAAAATTTATATATAATAATATAAAAAATATATTATTAGAGATATCCTCTTATAAAATATAGTATAATTACTAGCTAGTATTATTTAAACTTACTAATATTAGGAACTCTAGTATAGTTATAATAATAGAAGAATAACTTAACTAACTATAAGTAAAATATTATTAACTAGAAGAGAGCCTATACTATACTACTAAATAATAAGTAAGGAACTATAATAAAAAGTATTATCTAACTAAATACTATATAGATTAATAAGTATTACTATTTATAAAGAATATCTATATATAAAGGTCTAGTAAGAAACTAGATATTAAATATAAAGGATTATTTAAAATAATTAAAATAATAAATTAATAAATATATTATTTATAATTATCTAAATTATATAAGAAAATCTATCTAGTCTTTTATATATTATTTCTTAAGAAATAGAATATAAGAGATAGTAACTTACTAGTATTACTCTAGCTAGTTATTATTAATAATAAGAAAGAATAAGAAGTAGAATAAATTATTATATAATAAAAATTATATAATAAAGATTAATATTTAATAAAATAAAAAAGATAGCTAATATATAAGAATACTTAATAATTAGTAAAAGATTTAAAAAATATATAAAATATTCTAAATAAATTTTACTAGATAAATAAGATATAAGTAAGGTACTAGTAAAATACTATAAATAAATAAAATATAAAAATAATAAATTAATTAAATAAGAAATTAAAAAAATTATAGAAATATATTAATAATATTATTCTTTCTTTTTTTTTTACTAGATTTTAAGATTTAATAGAAGTATACTATAAGTATTAAGAAATCTTAAAAAAAATAACTTAATTTTATTATATAAAAATAGAAATAATAAGTATTTATACTATAATATTAATAAATTTTTAATTATTATAACTATTCTAAATCTCCTTATTATTATTCTCTAACTTTATCATGCTACTCCTAATATACTATATATTAAGTAAATAAAATAGATTATAATTAATAAATTAAAGTAATCTCTTTAACTAGTTCTTAATTTTAAAGTAATAAATAAAAACCTAAATAATATAAGTCTAATAAGTATAAGCTACTATATTTATTACTTTACTAGATATTATCTAGATCTTATTAAGACTAGCATGTATAAGTAAGATTATAAGAAAATATTTTTTATATAAATAAGTATAATAAATATATTATTATTCTAGATTTAAGTATATATAAAAATAAACTTCTATAGGATTATTATTTATATATTACTAAAACTTAATATAATATAGATAATATAGTATCTATATAATAGTAGATAAGCTAGTAGGAGTAACTAGAATAGTTAGAGTAGCTAGAGCTATAGTAATAGTAGGAGTAACTAGAGCTAGCATAATAACAGGAGTTAGTATAATAATAAGAGCTAGCGTAATAGTAAGAGCTAGTATAATAGTAGGAGCTAATATAATAATAGTAACTAGAGTAGCTAGAGTTACTATAGTAAAAAAAGTAGAAGAAAAGATAGTAAGAGTTACTATAATACTAGAAATAATTATAGAGAATAAGGGGAATATAATCCTACTAAATAATAAAGTAGTAATAATAAGAACTATAAGAAATATACTAGTAGTAATAAAGATTATAAGTACTATAATTAATATAAGTATAGGGAGATTTATTATAGAAGCTTATAAATAATTAATATAATAAATCTATATTACTAGAATAAAAATACTTATAGAGGAAGAAATAGTAGTAGTTAAATAGGCTTTTTTTATAAGGATATAGCTAGTATAATACTTAATAAAAGATATTTAGAAAGAATTATAAAATCTATAATATAATTAACTATTATTATAATATTTAAGTAATAATAATCTATCTAGAATAATATATTAACCTATTAGGAGGAACTTTTTAAAATATAGATTAAGCTAGAAAATATATATATAGAGAAGTATTCTCCTATAATATTTATATTATAATAATATTTTTATTTATTATTAGTATATCTAATAAATTACTTACTTTTATCTATTATTTAATTTAAAGTAAAATATAATATTATTTATATTTTATTTAATAAAGTATAATTAATAAAAATAATATTATATATATTATTATTATCTCTAGTATTAAATAAAAAAGTAGGTTATATTATACTAACTAGGATTAACTCTTCCTTAGTAGGGTACTAAGCTAGATCAGGCATAATATATATAGCACGCGGATATGCTGCTAAGGAAAAGAAAGATAATTATTATAGTAATTATATAATATATAACTATATACTAAATTATTGTAAGAGCATGTGATTCGGGCAACATGTCTAAACCATTGGACCAAAAGGTCACTATGATCAGACCTGATATCTGATCTGCCCGAATCCCACCTTATATACCCTAGTAATCATTGCCTTGGCACCAGTACACCTAGTGCACGCCGTGACAACTATCTCCTTCCTTGAGATAAGGCTTGACCGCAAGCCGACTAGTGTATATTCAGTAGGGACCCCCAGCCCTAAGCTAGCTAGGCTAAGCTAAGGGCTGTGAGCAGGTAGGCGTGGTTCAAATCTGGTAGCGCAACCAGGTCTAGCGGGACTCAACCCAGCCCTAGCACCTATTCAGGTCTAGCGGGACTCAACCCAGCCCTAGCACCTATTCAGGTCTAGCGGGACTCAACCCAGCCCTAGCACCTATTTAGCCTAGTGGGACTCAACCCAGCCCTAGCACCTATTTAGGTCTAGCGGGACTACCCAACCCTAGGACTTAATTTTATCATTGTCGCACAATGACACCAGCCGGATTCGAACCACAGCCATCTACCCATCAGGTCTGATCATACTTATAAGAGCATGCGATTCAGGCAACATGTCTAAACTATTAGACCAAAAGGTCACTATGATCAGACCTGATATCTAATCTGCCCGAATCCCACCTTATATATCCTAGTAATCATTGCCTTGGCACCAGTGCACCTAGTGCACGCCGTGACAATTATATATTAAACTATATACCTAGTAATTAAGAATAATTAGAAAAATAGTAATATTTAAGTTATCTATACTATACTAGTAACTTAACTAAGTAATATAAATAATAATATAATAACCCCTAAAATACTAAGAGATAAGCACTTTATTTTATTACTTCTAATACCTTCTTACTACCCTCATACTGTCACGGCGACCACGTGACATGTAACCACATGCCAAACCACATGCTGAGTAACTAAGGGTAATCAGGAGAATAGTAATATTTGAATTACCTGTACTATACTAGTAACTTGACTAGGTAATATAAATAATAATATAATAATTTCTAAAGTACTAAAAGGTAAGTACTTTATTTTATTACTTTTAATATTTTCTTACTACCCTTATATTCTATATAGCTTTACTTCTTTTACTAATACTACTTATACCTAAATACCTTACTAGTAAGATATTTATAATTTAAAGTATTTTCTTAACTAAGTAAAGTAATATAGTAAATATAAAAAGAACTACTTACTTCTTCTCTTAAGAAGTAATAAATTTAAACTTTATAAAATTTATAATTATAGTTTTAAAAACTATTATTAAGGAAGATTTAATAGTACTAGTAATTCTCTAGTACTAACTTATTAAGTTAATAGAAGATAATAAATTATAATATATAGCCTAATATATAATACAAGCTATATAAATAGGTAGGAAAAAGATATCTAAATCTAAGTTCTTTAAAGTATAAAACTTAAAAAAACTTAATATCTTTCTAGAAAATTTCTAAAATTATTTTAGATTATAAGGGAAACTTTATAAGAGTAATATAGCTAAAATTTATTATATTATAGGTTACTTAAAAAATAATATAAAATAAATATAATATTTTAAGTATAGAGTAAATTTTAAAAGACTTATTTATATAGAATTTACTAAATTCTTATAAAACTTTTTAGAACTAAAGAGAGATTATAAATAAATAATAGCTTACTAGCTCTTATATATAAGATAAGGACTATAATAGAGTATATAAACCTTAATAATCTAGATAGAGAAGTTTATTCTAATAATTAAAGCTAATTTTAAAGAATTTCTTTACTAGCTAGCTATTTAAATAGCCTGGCCTGAATTATATAAGAAAATCTAGTAAGATATAATAATATTATAAAGTCTAGTTAAAGTTACTAAATTAAGAATAAGGTATGAGAAACTTTAGAAATAAAAAAAATAAAAAAAATTAAATAAAGTATAATTAAACTAACTTCTAAAATCTTATATATTAAAGAATAATTTAAGAAAAAGAAAGAAAAATAATAATAAAGTAATAAATTTCTAATTAAATAAATTCTAGTAAAAAAAATTAAAGAAAGAATAGTAGAATTACTAGAATTAATAAAAGAAAGGCTAATATTACTAATATAATTAAACTAATTATATTATAAGGAAATACTTCTAGTATAGAGAAGATATTAAGGGGGTAGGAAAATTAAAGAACTAAAATTAATAATAATTAAATATTCTAGAATTTCTAGTACTTTAATAAAATAAAGAGGTACTAGTAGGATTTTTTCTAATTATTATAATTATCCTAATAAATAAAAAATAGGTTATAATAAGGGTACTTATAAATACTAGAATAAATAAGGATTTTATTTTTTATTATTTCTTAGCTAAAGAAGAAATAAATCTTAATAAAATAAAAATAAAGTAATTTATATATTTTATTAATAATTTAATAATATTATACTATATAAGATTCTAGGTAAAGAGCTAGATTATAAATAATCTTAATAAAATTAGAAAATTTAATATAAAATATTATATAGTAAATTTAGAAGAAAAAAAATATTAATTAATTTTAAAATATAATTAATTAAGTTTAATTAATCTTAATATTTTCTTAGTAGTAAATATCTAGTATTATTAAGAAAAAAAGTTAAAGATTAAAATTAAATTATTTAAGTAATTTAAAAGTATAATAAAATAAAGATTTATTATATTAATTTTAAACTAATTATATAATAATAGTAATATAATAAGGGCTCTCTTTAAATATTATAAAAAATAAAAATTAATATTTTTAAAGAAAGAGATAAAGATACTTTTCTTTAAAAAAACTAGTTATAATATATTATTTGTCACGGGGAGCAGGCGGGCAGTAGGTGTAGCTAACAGCAGGGTGTATATTCAGGCTATCTGCATATAGGTACAATAGGTAGGGGTTAGGTCAGGACAAGAATACAGCTTAAAGAGCTATAACAGGATTAAGAGTAATATAGTTTAAATATAGGAGTAGAGATAGATAATTAAGGTAGAATCTAACTAGATAAGTATATAACTATATTATAATAGTATCCCCTCTCTTAAGCTAAGCTCTAGTAAAATATTTCTAGAGTCTAGACTTTCTAGAGTAGTAGTAATAATAAATAGTAATATATTTAGTAGCATTCTCTAGGTAGCTAGCAGGAACTTTAATAATAATAGGGTATTTAACCTATTTAATAGTATACTTTAAATATAGGTAGCTATCTTAGCTATAGTAGTCCTAGTAGGAGTTAATTACTTTCTTAATCTCCTATTTCTTAATACTATTAACTTTAATATATAGGGATTTAATTTCCTCTTATCTAGGTAGTAGATCTTTAATAATTAAGTATAATAATTTAATATAAAATACTAAATATATTTTTATGCTCTTAAGCAGGTCTAGTTTATAGGTATAAGAGCTAATAATCCTCCTAATAAAAAAAAAGCCTAGATTTTTCTAGTCTAATTTCTTTTAAGGGTATAGGGTTATAATATTCTTAGTATTTAACTAGACTAATTAGCCCTTAATTGTCACGGCGACCACGTGACATGCAACCACATGCCGAACCACATGCTGAACTACATACCCAGTAACCAAGGGTAATCAAGAAAATAGTAATATTTAAGTTGTTTATACTGTGCTGGTAACTTAACTAGATAATATAAATAGTAATATAATAACCTCTAAAGTATTAAGAAATAAGTATTTTATTTTATTACTTCTAATACCTTCCTACTATTCTTATACTCCATATAGCTTTACTTCCTTTACTAATACTACCTATACTTAAGTACCTTACTAGTAAGATGCTTATAATTTAAAGTATTTCTTTATTAAGTAAAGTAATATAGTAAATATAAGAAGGACTATCTATTTCTTTTCCTAAGAAGTAGTAGATCTAAACTCTATAGAATTTATAACTATAGTTCTAGAAACTATTATTAAGAAAGATTTAACAGTACTAGCAACTCTCTAGTACTAACCTGTTAAGTTAATAGAAGATGATAAGCTATAGTATATAGCCTAATATATAGTACAAGTCATGCAGATAGATAGGAAAAAGGTATTTAAACTCAAGTTCTTTAAGGTATAAAACCTAAAAAAACTTAGTATCTTTCTAGAAAACCTCTAAGACTACTTTAGATTATAAGGGAAATTTTATAAGAGTAATATAATTAAAATTTACTATACTATAGATTACCTAAAAAATAATATAAAGTAGGCATAATATTCTAAGTATAAAGTAAATTCTAAAGAACTTACCTATTTAGAATTTACTAAGTTCCTGTAGAACTTCCTAGAACTAGAGAAAAATTATAGGTAGATAGTAGCTTACTAGCTCCTATATATAAGACAAGGACTATAATAGAGTATATAAATCTTAATAATCTAGATAGAGAAGTTTATTCTAATAATTAAAGCTAATCTTAAAGGATTTCTCTACTAGCTAGCTATTTAAATAGCCTGGCCTAAATTACACAAGGAAATCTAGCAGGATATAATAATATTATAAAGTCTAGTTAAAGTTATTAAACTAGAGGTAAGGTACAAGAAACTTCAGAAATAAGAAAAGTAGAAAAAATTAAATAGGATATAATTAAATTAATCTCTAGGATCTTATATATTAAAGGATAACTTAAGGAAGAGAAAGAAAGATAATAGTAAAGTAATAAATCCCTAACTAAATAAATTCTAGTAGAAAGAATTAAAGGAGGAATAATAGAATTACTAGAATTAAAGAAAGGAAGGCTAATACTATTAATATAATTAAACTAGTTATATTGTAAGAAAATACCTCTAGTATAGAGAAGGTATTAAGGGGGCAGGAGAATTAAAGGACTAAGATTAATAATAGTTAAATACTCTAGAATCCCTAGTACTCTAATAGGATAAAAAAGTACTAGTAAGATCCCTTCTAGCTACTATAGCTATCCTAGTAGGCAAGAAATAGGTCATAATAAGGGTACTTATAGATACTAGAGTAAATAAAGACTTTATTTCTTATTACTTCTTAGCTAAAGAAGGAATAAATTTTAATAAGATAAAGATAGAGTAACCTATATATTTTACTAATAATTTAATAGTATTATATTATATAAGATTCTAGGTAAAGAGCTAAATTATAAATAGCCTTAATAAAATTAGAAAATTTAATATAGAATATTATATAATAAATTTAGAAGAAAAAGAATACTAATTAATTCTAGGGTATAGCTAGCTAAGTCTAGTTAACTCTAATATCTTCTTAGCAGTGAATATCTAGCACTACTAAAGAAAAAAGTTAAAGATTAAAATTAAATTACTTAAGTAATTCAAGAGTATAATAAGGCAAGGACTTATTATATTAGTCTTAAGCTAACTATATAATAATAGTAATATAATAAGGGCTCTCCTTAAATATTATAAAGAATAGAAATTAGTATTTTTAGAGAAAGAGATAGAGATACTTCCCTCTAAAAAAGCTAGTTATAATATACTATTAATTACTAGTATAGTACTATTAATAGGCTGGCTATATAATATATTAAGGATAGAGTTAGTAACCTTAAGGGAGTATATTAATTAAATATTAGAAAAAGGATAGATCTAGCCCTTAATAAGTATAGTAGGTGTGCTAGT